TCTCAGTATTTTCTCATCCTTTAAAAATTCAGGGGGGATCTAAATCTTCATGATGACCAATCCTGTTTGGGGCTTTTTTGTTGGTTGCTTGAATTTTATCCTAATTCAGAAGTAGCTCATGTTCTGTAATTTTTAACAGAAATACTGCCAATTACTGATGCCTTTGCCTAACAATTTCAGAGTCAGTTTCAGGTGCTCAGTCTCTCCTGAATCAGATCATTATACAACACTTCAGACAAATGAACACAGTGTTTGCTGCAGTATGTGATTTCTATAGTTAAACTTCAATGTAAACAAAATTTCGATTTCACAATCGCATCTCTGTTTCTCAGGATTCTTGAAGTTAGATTTGTCAGTTTTAAATGACAAAAAAAAAAAAAAAAGTGTTATAAGCTGTGGTGTTATATAGGTAAAGGATTTCACAACGAAAACAATGACATAAACCCTAACAGGAGAAATAAACTTGTCCTGCAGGTAGATTGTCTTAGTAAACTCATCAGATAAAATGTTGACAAAGTCATGGGGAATGGGTATGTTAAAATACAACTTAGTAAGTTTGAAGTATAAGAGATGTAAAACAAGTCCTGTTGTTTTTGTTAAGTCAGTGATTCAGATTTTGTTTTGATTTCTCTTGTTAGAATTAGGATTTCCTCTACTTCTAATTTTAAAATATTATTATAGTAGAAATTTCACTGAATCAGAGAAGCATGAAATAGCCATTTCCAAGCCATGTGGTGATGATAATAATAATAAAAGATGTGTTATTTTCCAGGAGTCTAGTTTCTATTCAGGTACTTAATTTTAGTTAAAATGCAAGACAGCGTATGTCTTTTGAAAGAGAATCTTGAAGTGATTTTGGATTATTTAAATAAAGGAAAACTGAATTAAACTGGATTTCTTTAGGTTAAGTTATGAACTTTGTTTTGTGCAGCCAATAGTTCTCTTTCTTAAAGATTACTGCTCTTTAAGACCACTTGCGTGCTATCTGTCAAGGAAAGACAGTGTTTAAGTGTTTCTGGAAGTTGAATAGCTGAATTATGTTCTGTTAGTTATGGCACAAGACTAAAATTTGATATATAGGCTCTAGTTACTCCTAGTATTACTTGCTGCATGTCGTAACAACGTTAACAATGCTTAGTGCTTTGCATTACAAATTTCCAGTGATACGCACACAGCTCAGATATGTAGGGTTTTTCCAGAAAGGAAGGAATGTGTTGATCACAATAAGAACTAGCGTGGGTCTGTAGCCTCCAAAAGTTTAGGTTTGGAGACACTAAATGGCTTCATAGTGGGATTTTTTTATATTTGACTTTGATTATTTCATCTACCTCTTCATTTTTGTATCAAACTCTGCAGCCTTTTTTAATCTTGAGTAAGTTTCAATGGGTATGTTCCTCAAAGATGAGTACCAGCAAGGTGTGTATTTCAAGCTTTTAATGTTCCAATAGAATCTTGAGAACTAGGAAGAAAAGCAGAAGAGCTTTTTGGGTCCTTGTAATTCTTGTAAACCTTACAATATGCATTTCTAAACTCAGCTGGACTTTACATTATTTTTTGTGATTTATTTATTGTCACTAGTTTAGTTCCACTAGTTATTGAGTCATCCTTTCTTTGTCTCTATCTATTCTTTTCTTTGTGTGTGTGCTGTGCTCATCTACAGCAGGCTACTGGATCTTAGAACTGTGGGCAGTAATTGAGACTTCAGCAGGGACATAAAGGACCTGTACTTCTAGGAAATTATGTACACAATTTGCAAACTTGTCTCTTATAGCTACATGCTGTGCTGTGGCAGTGGTGACCACAGATGACCAACTGTGCAGCCTGTGTGCAGCCTTACTCTGAAAAGAGTTTTGATAAACTAGACTAGTGGAAATTTTCTCAATGCTTTTTCACCTTGCACCTCAGTGTGCTAAATTTTCAAGCCATCGCATGTCAAGTGACAGTCCTAATGTTATAATGTATTGCAAAATTTAAGGTAGGTCTTTTTAAAATGTGAATCACAATAAATACAGGTGATGAAGCTTTTACAAATTCATTAGGTCCTTAGAGAGTCTCTAACTTTACACTCTTATGATTTTGCATAAAATAATTGATTGGATGCAAGAAGACTCAAGTCTCCCAATTCCGTTGACTGGGTGGTTCACTGGGGGGGGAAAAAAAAAACAAGCAAAAAACCCCCAGTAATTAAAACTCAGTTTTGTCACTGGTTTAGAAAGAACTAACTCTCCATTCATACAAATGAGGAAAAGTTCTGAGCATTGAATACTGATCACTGTGCAGGCCCCTTCAATGAAGAACAGTTGCCCATGCAAATGTAACAGTTTGTGCACTCTGTGGATCAAAGTGGATCCACTTCAATCACTTTCTACTTTTACTTCGAGGATATTGGGCGTTGAGAGGGACATCCTCTGCGTACATGTTTTACCACCAAGAAGTTTGGAGACCTTAAAAGTACGAAAATGGACAGATGAAACTGTTTTGTCTTGACAGTGTTTTCATGCACGAGTGAAATCTAGAATTGCTTAGTGAGAACTGATTAATTTGTTTGAATAGGTGTTTTTAGGGTGATTTTTATTCGTGGAGAAAACACTTAGCATAAAGTGAAATTCCACAGAAATTTTGCAATGACAAAGTAGTGCAATGTACTCAGTGTGGTGGGCAGCACAAGCAGTAGATAAAATTCCCTCTCCATCTCTCTCTCTCAACAACAAATTTCACCATAGTCACAAGAACTTTAATAGGCGGTGGATATCCCCTTGTCTGGAGATTTCCAAACCAGTGAGGTCTCTCTCGTGTTTAGTAAATTAATTTTTTAAATGAATTCTCATCAAGTTTCTAATTATAATATCTTTAAATTTAATGTTTGTATTTCTGATGAAAGACAAACATTTTGGGGGCAGTCACAGGGGACATGAATAATTTCTTTAGAAGCTTATCTAATTAATTACATTTCTGTGTAATGTCTTTAAAATTTGAACTGCCATCATTTCATTAATTTAGATAAAAGTAAATCTTTAGTGTTTAAATATGACACTAGTGCTAAGAATTCTGATAAGCTCAAGTTTCATTGTCTTTATTTTTATCAAGTTAAGATTAAAAATATGTTTAAAATATTTGGGATTCATGATTTGCATATTAACTTTTGTTTGATTTCAAATACATTATTATTTCATGGCATAAGTGTTCACCTCACCTGTTAATAAGTAAGATCATATGATGTAAAATGGACAGAAATATTACTCTTGCAATGTTTTGGTGGGGATTTCTTTTTCTTCTGTTACGTTTCTTTTTGAACTAAAACTTTTGACTCCATGAGATGGGAAGCATTTAAAGTCTGATGTCTCATAATCTTCCGTACACTATAGAGGTAGAATTTTAATATTTCAGGCTATCCAGCAAACATAAAGCCTGTATTTACAGCACTAGTACATTTGGTGATAGCCTGGGTTTGTGTCTTTTAAAATAGGTATTTTTATGCTGTTTCAAAGTAATGTTAGCAGAGCAGTGGATATTTACACACTTTGATTTATAGATGGGCCTCAAAAATTATAGCTGTCTTTAGCATACAAGGAAAAAAAAAAAGGATACAAGAGGTAGGGTTTGATTAGGTCATAACACAATTAACTTCGATGGAAGCCACAAAAAATACAGTGTATATGGCGATTCTGTCTTTAATCATCTCTAGCATTTGTAGAGCTGCCACCAGTTGCTACCTGCCCACTGGTGGAGCCTGAGGTACTTCTACTTTGTAGACATGCATTACGAGAGGTACATTGAATACCAGGCAACAGGGACTTCTGTCCTGCCTTCCCCTAAGCCAGTTCTGTATTGCCATGTGGGCATGGACTGATGACAGCTTTGGAGAGCTGCTAAGCTGTCACAACAACTGTGAGGAAGTTGATACCCAGACTTATGGTAGCAGCTTTCTTTCCTGCAGTAATAATTTAGGCAAAAGCGTGTAGTTCGATTACAAGTCAGACCCAGAGTTTAATTCACACAGTGTGCAGTTCTTCAAATTGTTGATGATATAAATAAGACAAAATACTGGATGTTAAGTAATACTCACTAAGAGATGGATTTTGAAACTAGTATTGAGTTATGCACAGAGGTGTGCATGTACTATAGAACAGTTTTTTAAACTCTTCAGATCAGCCGGTCATCTCGGTTTAAACTGGATTCGTGTTTTTGCTCATTGGGGAAAAAGAATCTAAAATATTTATAAAGAGTCTCTTAAAATAAATTAGCTATACTGAATTTAAGGAAAGACACTAGAAACTGACTGTGAAATCTAGTCAAAGTAGAACGCAAATTGTTGGGTCAGCTTTTCTTTCGCTACAGCTTAACAAGGTTGTTCTACTCTTTACAGTGATAAACACTTTTATGCAAACTAGCACTATATTATAAATAAATAGACTTTATTTCGGTGAAGGAAAGAAGTTCACAGGTCATAATTTTGGTCAGTGGCAAATGAATCAAAGTGCTGTGATAGTCTGAGGTACTACCTAGTTTTGCCTATGCCAATCTACCATCTGTCTTTCTCACAATGTGGGTTCCACATTAATCGTATTTGCAATGAAGTAATAATAGATGTGCAGTCAGAACAACTAATAGAGTAAAATGCTCTGTGCTCTGCCAAAGATAAACAGAGAAATAAATCTATGTTGTTTACAGCCTTCCCTTTTCCATGTATAATGGACTTTATCAATAAAACAATACAAACTTCATCAAAGAAAAATCTTACCAATTTAGTCCAAGAAAGGTCTTCATTGAGCTAATCTCCAACAAATGCTCTTTGCAATAAAGATCTATTTACTCTTTTCAACCGTAAAATGCTGGCCATCCTTCTTTATCTCATCCTCCAACTCTATGATCCATCACAGATAAGAAAACCCGATTAAGCAGGGACAGAAGACAGGAAGAGTATGGTTACTATGCAAGCATTTATGCATCAGTCCTAAATTAAATATACTTCCCTTTTATGCTTTGATTTCTTTTCTTAGGGAACCACAGTCAAGTGACCCGGGTGCCTGTTGCTATCAAAGTTCTTGATGTAAACGACAATGCTCCTGAATTTGCATCGGAGCACGAAGCCTTTTTATGTGAGAATGGGAAGCCTGGACAAGTAAGTATCTCCTTGTTTTTATGTTGTGTACTTTGATGTGTAAGAACAGGGTGCAGTTTCTCCCTGCCTTCTTACCTTATCTTTATACCCAACACACGTGTCTATGTGTTTGTGCCAACAGCTCTTAACATTCATTTAAGATGAACCTATGATCATATTCTGGGGCATGTCTGTCTATATATGGACATGTATATTTTTTAAAGTATAAGTTTTAAATTAAAGGTAGGTATCTTGGGACAATATCCAGAAAAAATGCTGCGTGTCTTTAAGCTCCCACTGTTTCCACTCATTTTGATGGAGTTCATCGCTTCATAGGTTCATGTATGTTAATAGGTAAAAGTATATTCCAACCTTAGTTCCAGTTCAGTCGTTGAACTACAGTGCAGCTGGGCCCAGGTATAATTTGGAAGAAATACTTAAAACAACAAAACAGTTTCACCTTACACATATCTCAGTTATCATCTCTATCTATTGAGTTCTTACTTTGCTGTGACAACTGGGAAAAAACAAGGAGGCAAACCAGAACTTAATGGAAAGTCAAGTAAATTGTAACTGCATTTGAAGTATCTAAAGAGGAATCGACTGTTGGAGAGGCAGAGTTCAAGTTTTTATTGTACCTCACAAAAAAAATCAAACAGACATAACATTATTTCCTTCTTGATTTAATGAAATAAAAGGGTTGGCAAAGGAATTTACACAACCCTCTACGAGGTGAAATAAACATAGCAAGACACTGGAAGCAAGATTTAACCTGTATATCCTTTTTCAAAGAAAATGAAACAGATTTCTTAAAAGGCATCCATTTTGAAGGATGAATGTACAGTAATAGAGAAGAATATCTCATATGCCACATAAATGACAAGATAAATATTCAATAAAATGCACAGACTTTTAGAAAATAATGCAATGTAAGTGTGATTTAACTTTTGTCCAGCTTGAGAAACACTGTGTGTTACAACAATTCACTGTTTTTAAACTTTCTAATTTATTTCTAGATTGTGACATTTTATTTAAATAAACAGCAGCTGACAGCATGACACTAGTCTTGTTAAACCAACTATTCCTGTGTCTCATGTGGGTGTTAGGCATTAAATTCACTATTCTCCAAAGAAGGTTACCTGACAGCAGTTAGAAATTATTTTCTTTTAGTGGTATTAAATGACAACCTATATAGTAGTATATGACAACCTACCTCTGCCAAGACTGGATTGTTACAGAAGACGATTTGACTTCTAGCACCCCTTTTTGTTTATTAAAAAGGTGTCAAAAATGTGTCATTTAAGAAATGAGAAATCTCTCTAACCACTGAAAAGCAGGTTACTGAAATGAGCCCTTATGGGCAGAGAGTTATGCTGCTTGTTGGTATTTAAGTTCTTCTAGCTCAGAATGGATTTCTGTTTAGCTCAGGGTGGATTTCAGATGCTGAGTAGTTACGCTTTCTAGGATGTATTAAATTCTAATGAGTATACCTTTATCCAGAACTCAGCAATCTTCCCTGAAATCAGGAAGCTGTGTTGCACAGTGTTTTCTGAATATATTCATCTTGGTATTGCTATCAAATTTCGGGTGGTTTAAGAGATGATGAAAAATGTTCACATTTAATTTTCGAATAAAACAATGAATGAGGTGATTAAGAGTCAGCTAGTAAAAGAGGCTTTTATTTAAGCACTTTCTGAAAACTTTCATTATACCATGATATTCATCTTCCGTCACCTCTTATGCTTTTGATCTGGTGGCAGATGTCACTCTTGAGCATGAATCCTTGTGTGAACTTTACAGATGGTTATTAAATATTTGGCTGCCAGCATGGATGAGGTGGCAGTGATCCCGCAATTTATTCTGTGTTTTAAACAAATAACGTTATTGGAACAGTAACCGGTCCAGAATAATCGCTGAGGTTAGGTTCTAAATTTAAGTTGTCACTCAAAAATTATCTGCTCCTGTAAAGATTTTAGTATCTACACTACCTGATTGGTTTTTCTCATGCTTATTATTCTATATTCAGATTTTGGAACAAATCATATTAATCAGTCAAGATGTAGAAGTCAAAAAGTTAAATACATCTCAGCTATGAAATAGGTAATATAAGAAAGACACTACTACTCTTGCATAGTAGCAAAAGCCTAATTTGCGTAGTTCTCCAGAGGTTAAACTTGAATGTTACATTAGCAGGAAAGACGTAATTGTGTTATGGTATTCCAATGTATTTACATTTGCAGTTCAACTCAAATCTAAGTTTAAATCAAATTTGAATCATCATAACGGAGATTACATTTGAACCTTTTGTGAAACTTTATTTGGAACTCCTAAATTCATTGAACCATCTATTCCAGTTCAGTTTCTAAGTGTTCTATTTTGGGTTCTGATATAATTGCAAGTGGCAAGTGCAGCTGCTGGTGATGTGACAGAATGTATTAAAAACTGTTGATGTATAACATTGCCAGATGCATTTTCTTTGCTTTAACCTACCTCTAACAGTAGAGGCACTACAGCTAGTAGGAGAGGAAAAGGAGAGGAGGAGGAAATGTATTTCTCTATGCACATATTTATGTGTCCTTGCACATTTTTACAGACCACAGAAAGTTGCCAGAAACGGGTTTTGTCACTTTTGAGGCTCGGGGTGGAGCAGGGGAAAGATTCAAACGTAGCATTACAGTACCTCTAAGCTAACCATAAACCAGCTCATGCCTTTCCCCATTATTCCTTTCTTTGCATAATTCCACTTACTAAAGCCAGAACATTCGTGGTTTTGCTGGTGATAGCTGAACAGTTGATTGGTCTCCAGCCCAGTTACATTATTTTCCTATACTCCTAGAACAGAACATCGGTATCGTTGCGTAAGAAAAGTGCTCACTCTCTGTTCCCCAGTCCATGCCCAGACTTTTCCAGTGAAGTGCCGTTTGCTCAAAACAAAGCTACAAAGTTTTCACACACGCAGTGCAGACAATGATGTATCAGTACTCAAGCCAGTGTTCGAACTAGAGCAATATAAAACAGAATACAATGTTCCTCCAGTCTCTCGCAATTTGTCTCCATTTTATTCAGTTCTCCTAATAGAATTGGCTTTTTCTAATGGAAGAAGTCTTCAGATAGATCTTTGTCTCCCTGAAGAGTCAAAGCTCATTCAAATGGCAAAATGCAGGTTCTAGCAGTAAAGGGCCAGCTCTATCTGAAGAGGCAAAGTTGAAATTGTATTGTGATGAGTCTAGTGCTTTACAGTATCATGAGTCTGCAAAGTAATTCAGAAATAACCATGAACATCAATGTAAATGTGAAAGTTTTTTCAGAGTTGGAAGAACAGTTTTAACAAAAGTAGGGAACAGTTTCCTGATGATAAGGAACCATTCTAAGGTGAACAAGTTGCACCACAGGGACAGACTTTTAAACAGTGTCATATATTAAAGTCACATATGGTTATGATACATTGATAAGAACTTTGTTTTGCTATTTATCCTTCTACATCATTCATTATGATTATACTGATAATCTTTTATAAATACTATTTCAGGCATATGTGGCTTTGTAGAAATGCTATACAGACCTACAGACTATAACAACGAGTTGTCCTAAAGGATCATTTAAATTCTAATTTCAATCCAGAGCTGCCTGTTAAGCAAAATATGTTGATTTACTATGTTTCTACTAAATATATATACGGAATCAAATATACACCTGAACTTTTAATACAACATCGAAGTTGAAATTTTACATGGAAGAATTTCAGAAATTTCAGGATTGAACAGCCAAGAGGTTACTAACTTTCACTGTAGTGCTTATGGATGCATAGTAAAAAAAATGGGTTGTTTTCTTTATTATTAGTATTGAGCAATTTTGTTACATGAAACACCTTTGTTATGCAAGTTATTGCTAGGAAAGAAAAAACATAAGGAGTGACAGGTAAGGCAGGTCAGCCCTCGAAGATTTTCTACCATGTTATGAACCACGAATTAAGAGTTAGAGAATTACTTCAATAGTGTTCCATTACAGGATCACACAACACTGAACAATAAAGTATGCTCATCAGCATGCTAATAAAAATGTGGTAATGAGAATTACTGGACTTATCTCACCCCTATGGAGTAAAAAATACAGCAGCTTTGTATCACTCTATATATGTTATGCTTTTTTTTTTAAAGACCTTATTTTAATGCAAACGCACAAAGAAATAAGGTTGCTATGGGAACACTAACTCTTAATTCCTTGATGTGTGCATATAACACAACAAATGTAGTATTCCACTAAGCCTGTCTTTTGCATATAATTTTCGGTGCATTTTCAGAGAAAGAATGACTTGGTAAACAATGAAGGGAGTGGATGGAAAGAACAGAAATAAAAGAAAGAATTCTATAGGACATTAAGAGGTATCTATAGTTCCTGGGGGGAAAAAAAAGGACAAAGAACATGCCCAGTGCCTATTTCTTAAAAATTTCCAATTTAGATCATATTCTAAGCTTATTTTGTAAAGTTTCTGTGAGATTAAAACGCATATTACTAATGCTCTTGGCTAGTGGCTTTCAGGTATATTAATTGAAAACCTGGAGACAGTGAAGTGAACTTTTACAGTCAACTTTCTTACATAATGCTGGAAAGAAATAACAGTTATGTAGCCCGTAGAGGTAAAATTGCATATCTGATAAACTGCACCTATTATGTGCAGTTGACCTTCCAGATTTCACTGTGCCATTATCCATTTTTCTTCTTGTTTTCCATTCTAGCAGTGTTTGAAAAATGGAACAATCATAAAATATATCACTCTAAGGATGCTTGTTTGGGATTCCATTCTAAATTGCACTTACCTGTGATGCAGAATTACTAGTACCTAGTCCAGCCCTGGGCCCGATGCATGTGGATAGTTTAGTATGTTACATGTCTGCAGAGAGACAGCTGAAAATGTTCTCCATCTATAAATGCGTCCACCTCTGCAGTGGGAGAGACAACATTTGCTTATATATTTTTCCCCATTGCGTAGCTCTCTAGTCTCTATTAAGCAGCTGTTAAACTGGAGACCTACTTCCTTAACCAAAAGCTATGTTAGGCATTTTTTTGTCCATCTCTTCTAATACATGTGTTTGAAATCATATCAGTCAAGGTTTCCACCTTGGCATATGCAGTTATTTGAAAATACCCCAATCTATTTATGTGGTATTTAAGCAATCTAAAACATTTTCCATTAGATTTTTGATAATGAATCAGACCTCTCCAGAATACGATTAGGCAAGGAATTAATCGTCTCAAATTCCTTCCTAGGTTCCTAGGTTGTCTTACGAATTATGTATGCCTATATCAATACCTGCTCAAACACCTTCTTACATACATAATCTCGAACATTTATGTTTTAATGTTGCTCCTTCTGGCTATCTAGTAAGACTTTAATCTTTGACTCTTGAAGAACATACAAGAAAGAATGGATATTGACTATTATCATATATGTAATGTATACAGATGGATAGTCCTTTCTCTTGAAGTAAAACCAGTATAAAATATTAGGTATTAGCATTTTGTTAGTGAAGCTTTGAAAATTTAAATTATAAGTCTATGAATTTGGACAGTATCAAACCTTGTTTCCATTTTTCACTCTTTAAAAATGAAATTTGTAGTGATTTCTAATTTGAATTTAATTGTCCAAGAAATTATTGGTCAGTTGCTTTAGGCATTACAAAAATAACTACATAAGACGAAAATGTTATTGAATTCAATGGACATGACAAAGGTCAACAATTCTCATTAAGTTTCTTATAAACCTCATCTAGCATGAGCTAACTACCACTGAAATTCAACTCTGAGTGTGGGATCTGGGTCCATACTTGTCTTTATTTCTACTTCTCTGGAAAATATTTGGAATCAAAAGTAATTCCACCAAATATTAAAAAAAAAAAAAATCAAACCTCCTGGTTACTTTACAATGTTTCCTCCTTTCATATTCCTATGCAGCTTTGTATGATTTGAAGATGATCAACTGCAGTATCTTTCTGAGTAATGTGGGGGTAAAAGAAGTAAATGGAGGTAAATACACTGCAGATACCGTAGTTGATCATATAAATCATATGAAGTGCTTCAGACAAAGTTATTCAATTATTCAAAGTTATTCAGCCTATCCAAACACTCTCCTAAACTTAGTATCCTGCATTATTGTGGGATTTATTAGTTAATAATGAAATTTTAGAACAAACCCATGTTCCTAGTACAAGAATAACTGAGATTTTATTCAAATTTAGGGAAAAATCCAAATACAGACTTAGATATTTTCTTTTTTTTCAGATTACATTATTTCTCACATAAAACTTCACATCAAAAGTTAATTTAAAAAAAAAATAAAGTAAAAAATGGTGGCGAGGGAAAGGAGAAATGATTAAAGATAGATTATACATTTTGGTCCAGTATGAAGCACGGCTATATGAATGAAAGACTACCATGGGCATCACGAGTGTTTCTGAAACACAGTTTTCCTTCTTTATTGCTGAATAATAATTTACTACTTGCCTAAATCAGCAACAGTTTTTACTGGCCTCTCTTATGTACCTGTTCCTCCTTATTCTCTGCCTCCTTGTTCTGGAAACAGTTTCAATGGGCCAGACACAGTCCCTGTTTCCCAGACTTTCAGTCTAAGTCTGTAAAAGCCTTACAAGATTATAAATTAACATTTTTAATTGGGCACGTAGACAAATGTGTCCGATAGAATGGAATGTTTTTTTCAATACTGCATGTTTATCAGAAGTGTGAATGCTTAATGAGAGTGTTTTCTGTTGTAGGTAATTCAAATTGTCAGTGCTGTTGACAAAGATGATCCTAAAAATGGGCATTATTTCCTGTACAGTCTTCTTCCTGAAATGGTCAACAATCCAAATTTCACCATCAAGAAAAATGAAGGTAAATATAAGACATCTACTATGTGTATCTGAACAGCTTAGTTTTGAATTACTTCGTTGACTACCAGTTCCTTTACGAGTTTGTCCCTCATGCAATTACAATGTAGATAATCTGTTTAATGGTACTTTCATTATATTTCTTAGGCTATTTCCAATACCTTTACAGTAGATAAGAAGAAAGTAAAATGATTACTGAATTCAGATCCAGAAGACAGCTGACTGGCTTAAATAAAATGATGGATTTGCTGCCTGTTTTATTTCTAATAATTTGAAATTCCAGAGATACGCTGTAAGATGAAAATCTGAAACTATGTTGATAAATAAATGTCGATCTTGCCTTGACTAGATATAGATGGGAGCATAAAATTAGGCATCTACTAAATCCCCCAAAGGAAACACCTTTTAAGCCTGTTTGTTGTGTGTGTAAATGTTCCAAAGTATTTCAGTTAGGCACTTTTATTAGAAACAGAAATCTGCTGGGTCAGCAAAGCCCAGAAGGGCACTTTGTATCACTATGCTTTAGAGCACTTCTGGACAGGCATAATGTCATTTTGTAGTGCAATAGAAGTGGAATTTCACGTGTGGTGGAAAAAAAAGACCCATTTAATATTGTTGAGTAATAGATTTACACTGATCCTTTTCTTTGGCGCAGAGATATATTTGAAGGTCATGTGAGAAAGAGCTAGGAGTGATCACGAGAATGCTATAAATAGCTCTTTATGTGTTTGTACTTACTTGAATGCTCAGCAAAGTTTTTCCATCTTGGCTTTTTTTTTTTTTAATAAAACACTACACTGTCAGGAATTTGAGTCAAATTCAGTCTCTTACTTATGTTATTTGAAATGATGATGAAGAAAATCCCTATTTAGTCCGTTACTAATAGGAAGATGTATGTGTGAGGTATATGTGTGTGTCTAAAATTAATACATGAAATGTTAAATAAAGAGAAAATACTGTTTTCACTTTCTATTCTAGCTGTTCCAACCAAGAAGAATGATGGCACCATTTTGTTAAATGATACTATAAAAGCCTAAATTCTGAAACCTACTTAAATATGTCCTGACTTTTTCTTTCCAGTAGATATGTTTTTCTCTTATAGCATTCATTTGGTGTGTCTCTACTTATATTTGTACTTCCATGTAGGAAATAAGTCTCTCTCTGTTTTCTGCACTTACAGGAGAAGGTAAAACATACCTCTTCAAAATGCATTTCAATAATCACCAGTAGTGTAACACAAGTTGAATTAAGCATCCTAAATGTGTGAGGTGGTTTGCTTTGCACATGACATGACAGCATGACAAAGTAAAAAAGGTCTTAGCATTTCTCTTCATGTTTAAATACTTAGCTCACATCACTAATTAGCCTTGTTCTTCCAATCTGTTACCCCTTTAAGACCCACTTTTATTCCTAGTCACAGCCAATGGCAAAATGACTCCTGATCTGAGTGGGAGTGAGGAATCTTTCTATATAACACGGTTGAGAAAAGTCAGATTTTGTTACAACATTGCCACTCAGTTTTACAGAGTTTTTAATGCATTTGAGTCAGTTAAATGTGTAACTCCTCTTAAAACAACTGACTGAAATATCTTGAAATTAAAAATCCACTTGAAGGGACTTTTCCAATTTAATCTTTTGGTATCCAAGAATAACATTCCAACTATGCGTATTAACCTTTTCTATCGAGATTGCTCCGCCAGGGATGCAGTCCATGGTTGATGCTAGAACATGATCTCCCATAGGAAGCAAATACTCCTGTCAAAGCCAAAAGCAGGGTATAACTGGTCTGAGGTGAGGTTTCTTGTAATTTAAACTTTAGAACTTTAGTGAGTCTTTATTTAGTTATGCCACTTAAACAATAAAATTGACCATGACTTTGTCTTGCTTGTATCTGCTAGATAAACATGAGTGACTATTGTTGTTGAACAAAACTCCTGTATTCTTAACAAACCTGAACTTACAAGTCAAATTTCTCCTTAGGTGTACTAATGACTGTCTGGGTTGTCCAAAAGCCAGTTCCCTGTGGTTTATTAGAAGCAATGTAAGAAAATGCCTATAACAAACCCAACTCTCATTTGTGGAAATTGTGTTTCTGAGGATAAGATCAGTACACAGCCCACTGAGGCTTGGAATGGAAAAACATTTCCTCATAGTGGTGGGCAAAATCCTTGACATCTTCCTGACTGTAACATCAGCCTCAGCGTCCTTCCATATCTGGCCCTGCCAGATTCTACAAAGCAGAAGAGAGTGCCTTGATGGCCGCTGAAGAAATGCTCTTCTCTTACAGATATCGTAAAGGGACTGCATTTTCTTAGGAAACCTAATATAGAAACCCAATCTTTTATTTATTAGAATTAGTATTTTTTTCTTTATTTAAATGTTTTTTCATATCTTGATTTTCTCCAAAATTCTCTCAAGTGCAGGGATAAACAAAAGTACCCCTCCTCAAGAGCATTTGTGAAATTATATTATCCTTTGGAATTCTTTTGTGCTTCAGGTAACTTTGTGGCATTAAGCAATTACTTCCCTTCTTCACGAAGTAATGAGGTTACCTGATCTGGTGGCACAAGCAAGCAAACAGTGCAGTGTGGCATCTGCCATGGGAAGAAAGCTGTGATGTTCTGTTTGTGTTCCTCACACTAAAGAATATAGAAGATGCATGTATTTTGGAATTTTCTCTTGCTATATGGAACATAAGAATAACCATTAATTAATTTAGTTTGTTGCCTACATGCTAATTCTATTGTTTAAACTTTCCAGATTGCCTTAAGGCAAGTTCACATGATACTTCAGTAAGTAACTGTGCTGCCCAAATATACTACAACTATTATGATCAGCTACGTTGTTATTGCCAAACATGTTTAACTGAGTGACACTATGGTGTATCTTCATCAGAAACCACAAAACCCCCACGACTCCTAAGATTATATGTATTATAGAGATTATCCTGTGATCATAGCAGAATCTGTTCCTTGAAATGATATACCAGTATCCTTTATTTGTTTGATCTGTTAAATTTGCATATTTACAATCCCTTCTGTAGACAAGAGCCCAAAACTGTAGAGGCTGTAGTGCCTTTCTGATTTAAGTAATGTAAAAATATAAATTTCAGTGTCATCATGCATCTCATTGGATGTCTTTAGATCATCTCTTAGAAATCTTTATTTTTCATATCTCCTGATCTGTTCTTTCTGTTCTTTTCCAAGCTCAAATATCTGTTATTGAATAGTTTTTCTTAGACTTTGTGCCTTGGCTAAATGGGCAGCTACTGATAATCTGAAGTAAAGCAATCCTACTCTAAGTGTAATGCAAGGAACACTGATCATTTAGATTGCCAGATGCCTCAACCTTTATCTCTTCACAAGAAAAATAATAAAATTATGTAATAAAAATATAAGAAGTTAATGCAACATGAAAATAATGTCATGTTTCCTATGTTAGTCCTGGTGACTAAACCTGTAACTCCATGACATAACAAACCCTTGACTGCATAAACTTACATTGACTGACTGGTCAATTACTTTTCACATATCTTTGCTGGGCTTCTGCGTAGGAGCAGAAGTAGGAAAAATGAAAATAAGTGTTTTGTGTAGTGCTTCTGACAAACTTCAAACTAGAAAACCCCTAAAAAACTTTAGGTGAAAATATCTGATGTTTAAGCAGGTGTTGATACATTCTAGCACTGTGTTGTAGAATCCTTACCTGAATGGAATTAACCCTTCCCAAAAAGCTGTGGGACCACAATAAATGACAAAAAACATGACAGGAGTTTAGACACCGATAAGGATTTTGTACTGTCATGGCATCAGTAAATTGAAATGAGATCTCTGGAAGTGGAATTAGCATTTGTTAACATCTTTTTTCAGGTGAGTGGTCTTCACAAAGCATTACTTAAAATCTAGTACCAGTACATGGGCCATCACCTGCATCCCAAACAGTACGCTCACAGCCATGCTGGTTTTCAGCATTGAATTCCTAATGCTCTTATGGTTTCCTTCAGTTGTTCAAGTCAGAACAGAATTTTGTGATAAAAGCATTTTCACAGATGTAAACATTTTGATGTGCTGCCAATGCAATTTTTACTTTCAAAAACTAGCAAATACATCTTTGCCATAAAGTGAAGAGTCTTAAAGTGTTTCCCAAAAGATGTTTCCATTGCTATTCCATTTTTCTTATGCCAAATTCTGTTACCTAATGGAATAAACCTCAAATCAAATGTTCTACGGTGCCTTTGGATGCAATAACTCTCCTGACAGTAGAAACAGTGCATCTCTACTGTACAAATGTGACATTACCTACCTCTTACTAGGATTTATGTAGTAGAAGCAATCACAGGGTTGCTTGGAACATGGGCAGGCCTTATCTTTGGGTTAAGAGAACCATCTTAATGGCATGCATTCTGTCTACATTTAGCCTATATCTAGGACTTATACTGTGACCGTTGCTCTATCGCCTGACAACCCCTCACCAGCCAGGGAGGGGGAATCAGGAAAAGGAGAGCAGACCCGTGGGTTGAAGTGAAAACAGATTTAATGAAACAACAGCAATACCAACAAAGGTGTATAGAATTAATACTCAGCCAAATGAATATGCAGCCAGCACAACCAACAGGAGAGCAGTCCTCAGGAGCAGGGAGAGCCAGAGGGGGAGCAGGAGGAACCCCAGCAGGAACTCCACAGGAGCTCCCTCTCCTCAGCCAACCTTCCCGCTTTATGCTGACCATGACATTCTGGTGTGGGCTACCCCTGCAGCTGACTCAGGTCAGCTGTCCTGGCTGACTGAACTCCTAACAGCCTTCCCAGCATGGCTGGGCTGTGAGTCTGTCCTAGCCAGACGAGAGCATGTTTGTATTCCTGCAGAAGTCCAATAGCCTTATAAGTAATCAGCCTCCCCTCTCCCCAAACTATTCAATGTCCATCTGGTGATTTGAGCTCTGCCTTTGAGACAAACTGATTTTAGAGAGTGCATAGTAAAGAAGGGTTTTTTTTCTTTTTAAATTGAGGT